CTCACTGTGCAAATGCTGAGAAGAAAACTACTTAACAATGGTACCACTGATATCCGAGCGCGTTTGGTGGAGTGGTTAGAGGTGCTCTGAACATATAAGTGAACGATCAAGCGCTAATCGATGGTTCGAGCCCGCCTTCATAGCTCACCAAGCCTTCAATCCTTCCGGGCATCAGTGAATCGGTGTACCAGACTTGTCTGCAGCACCAAATAGATGCATCGATAGGCCATCGTGATCCAATGAAAAAAGATCAGATGTGCATTTATTCGTCTCTTAAACCATGCTATGAAGTCGAATGCACGGAGCATTCCTGTGGGATTGATCAGCGCCGAAAGCTTCATCCTCTATCACTAATATCCATTGAAAATGACAAAAAAAAAAACAGGACGAAGACGACTTAAAATCAAACCCAATATGCCATAAAAACTCTCATCAACGACATAGCGATGTCGACGAACATTCTTTTAATTTAACCGCTTTCTGGCGGTGGCATGATGTTCTACGTACCTAATGATGTTGAGTAACGTGCAAAACTTCGAAAGCAAGCAGGACTCGAACCAGCACCTGACTCTCCGGGGGCGAGTGCTTCAAACACTGCACTAACTATGACAGTTTTGCAACTACTCTTTCTACGCTACAATACATCAGAGTATCAGTAACCAACAGTTAACGGCTTGTTCTGTTAATCGATATCGACACTGAAACCAAGTTACGCTGATAGATATTACATATATATCCTATTAACAAAAACTCTTTCTATTTAACCGCATTTTAGTGGTGGTATGATGTTATACGAGAGCAACTGGGTTCAATGTCAATATCGATTACCACGTTAAACTGTTGACGGCTGTTGCTGATAGATTGATGCGTCACAACGTAGAAAGAGCGGTGGCAAAACCTGTCGTCTATATAGTAAGTGGTTTAAAGCGCGCGTCCACGGAAAGGGTGAGATGCGGGTTCGAGTTTCACCTGACGTCAGACTTCTACACACCACCACTCAATTTCACTGGACATAAAGGATAGCTTCGGCGTTGATCAATATCTGAAGGATGCGCTATGCATTCGTCTTCAACTTTTAATTTCGTTTGAGGTAACTGAATGAATATCTGGCCTTTACAAAGACTCGCGGTGGCCTTCCCTGTACCGATCAGTGCTGCTTACCCTCCCAGACAAGTCCGAGACTAGTTTGATATCAATTTACCGACCCCAGAGGGATGGATGATTTGGTGAGCCAGAAACGCGAGATTGAACCATTGATCTGGTGTGCGACGCAGAGCACCTCTAAACACCCACATGCGCTCCTCACTGGACATAGTAATGTGAAAGGTGAAAAAAAAGAAAATTAAAGACACGAGTACAACTCACAAGACAGTCTTTCAAGTAGTCGAGGCCTTGCAAGATACTTATCGACATCTTCCCTATATATCCTTCAGCAATCTGAATTCCCATACGATTGGCACTACGAAGTAAAGTGTGAAGGCACGATGCCATCACTTCCATACAAACCTTCACGCTCGTCTGTAAAGAAAAAAGGAAGGACTCCGTGACTCCTACGAGACTTTATGCAAAACCATAATATCAGGCCGTTCCATAAATTTTGGCACTGAAGCAGTAAATACCAGATTTATTTTACAAAACTGATTAAAACTGCACAATTCTGGTGCAGTTCAACTGCGCATTATCTTGTGATCATTTTGGTCTACAAGTTGCCAATACTTGCTTAATGATGGAGCTGTCGTGGGAACGAACCTGCTTCCTACTTATGCACGAACGGCACGTGGGGACAAGCGCGCAAACTTGGGACGCGGGTAGGGTTGCAGAAAGGACGACTAAGGAGTGGTTCGTGAAGTTTGAAGCTGGACACAACAGTTTGGACAATCAGCCGCGCTTCGGCCGTCCACAGAAAGCACCATTAGTCTTGCGCGCCGCTTCACTAGCACTTTCCTCTACGCGCCATTCGTGCATGCATAACTAGTAAGCAAATTTGTTCCTATGACAGCTCTATCTCAGAGCAAGTATAGGCAAGTAGTATACTAAAATGTTCGCAAGAAAATGCGCTATTGAATGATAATAGATACAAGCAATTTAATTACTTCTGATTGATAGTTTGGTTTTCATTAATTGTTCAAGTAGCGAAACTTATGCAACGTGCCTATCTATTTGCCCGCCGCTTTTTTACAGACGTTGCTCAAACAATGATAATCTGATAAGGATATAACATGTTCTGAGCAATGATCTAAGTGCTATACAGGCGGCGCCTCTTCCTCCGGGACTCATCAATAGCACCGTCCTTGGCTCAGTCGATCTCTTGAGGCTGTACTGCTCTATGAAGGAATCGACCCCGAGCAATAAATTACCGCAAGTCAGATGATGAATTTGCCAGACATTGTAGTGACCAGCAATGGAGCTTGGGATTTTTGTTTTTATTAAGGACATTTTAAGAGCCAAAAGCGCAACTGCCAGTCACTACAGTGTCAGGCAATTCCATTATCTGACTTGCGCTGATCTATTGCTCGGCGTCGATTCCTTCAAAGAGGAGCATAGCGTCAAGGGGATCGGCTGAACCGAGGGATTGTGCTACTGTGGACTCCAGATAGGATGAAACAAGGCACCTGTCTAGCATTTAAACCTTAACGGCTCAAAACATCTTATATCCTTATCACTTAAGGAACGACCTAATAATTCCAACATTACAACACCAGATCGAATTCAAAGTACTCACAAGGGAATTTGAAACGAACATAAACAAAGATCACCATTTAACTATACGCGTAGGATAGGATAAACAAAATAGAATTTATTTGAAAAAATTCGAGGTTTTTTTCAGCACTGGACTTCATCGAGGCCCTGTAGTCATTGACAATGAAACTGTTAAGAAAATACTAGTCTATGGGTTGTTAGTCGAATTTCTACAACTTCTCTTGCAATATTGTTTCCAGTATTTCTCTCCGATAATGAGGAATGGCTTTGAACGACTGGACGTGATATCCAGAGAGATGGCCTAAAGGCACTGAAAAGCTCTCGGCGTTAATGAATCTCTGAGGGATGCGCCATGCATTTGACTTCATTCCCAGCATCGTCAGAGATAAACGGATGCATATCTCGTCTTTACAATGATTCGCGCTGGCCTACCGATGTATTAAGTCAGTGCTGCTGTCCTCAAAGACAGGTCTAGTATCAATTCACCGAACCCAGAGGGATGGAAGGCTTCGCAAACCTTGAGCGCAGGGTCAAAACAACGCGTGTGTCGCTGAGCATATTTAACCACTGGGTCACATGTGCTCCTTAAAATGAAACATTACGTAGCAAATCCCTGGACTGACAATCTTGATAACCATGGAATAAAATAAGTGAGCATTATTCTTGGTGAGCATGCGAGGCTGCTAACTCTAAGATTCATCAAGTACAACGATGTAAACATAAGAAAAATAACGTAAGCGCCATTGAAACACAAATCAATAGGAGTGATTTTGTTTTGGATGATTTGTACTCAATAAATTCAGCTTTTAACAACCTCACATCTGATCATCAGCGAAAGAACTGATATATTATGAAACAAGGTATAACAATAGCAAATTGTCCAGTCTAATGATGGCACGCTAGGGCTTCGAGATACAGAAAAGGTGGGGCAGACCGCCCAGAGTTGCCATTTAGAGACGCAGAGGTTGTGGGTCCACGGCCTCGAAAAGATATATATGCCACGCATACTGCTATCACAGTTTTCATGGGAAATTGTGAAGAAAGTTAGCCAAAAAACAACTAAAAACATAATCACTTCACCCAAGAATTGTTGTTTATGAAAAAAAAACTTGCAAGAGCTTGTTTTTTCTCACTCAAAAAACAACGGCTAACGTCTCGAAAATTTCGCCTTCTTCAGGACCGCTTAACGTTTCCATAGGATAGAGATCACCGAAGGGGGCTCTACTTTGTAGAAAGAAAGCACCTTTTTCAATCTGTGAGAACCCATCAGTGCTCTCCTCCATATGAAGAGTTTAGTAGCCCTAAGCAAGGCAAGACCCCTGAAACGTTAGCCATCTCTCTTGACGAGATAGATACCAGCCTCGGAAAAGCTTCGTACAAAAAAAAATTTCTAAAGAAAAATCTCTTTTTTTCACGCCGAGGATTAGTGAGAGTAGATGCTGCGATTGAGATAATCCACTCATTTAAAATTCACAGAACCCAGGAGAGTTGGAAAGGCAGCACTTTCTTCATTGGAAAACGACTTTCCTCCAACGTCAGCTCTAGCGATCAGTAGTTTCTCTAGTGATTTAGGTAATACCACGAGGCTGATATATTTTGTCCTTATAGTCTATCTTATTTTTTGTTTCTTTTATTTACACTACCTGTCGTCACAATTTTTATTGTGCGAATCCCAGACTTTGAGCATTCGGTTCCTTTTTTCGCGTTCCTCTTAGATGACGTAGAATACTGATCTAGCATGTCTCCTTGCATTCTCGAGGATAACCTGGCTGTGGCGCTCCATAGGGCGTCCCTGTTGACTGTCGAAGACTGTTGGGGTGGAACTCGTCTGTACGCGCCGCCGCGACGAACATCACAACCATTTGGCCAGGGCGCCCCTAGTTTATCTTTATAGTATGTTATATAGTTATTCTCCGAGAGTTTTCGCATTCCCGACACTTTTGTTAACTCAGCTGTTATTTATCTAAAAGAATCAGTGATAAATTCCAAGATTTCTTATGTCTCACTGCTTTTTCGCGGTGTTACGATGCTTCAAATATTCCTAAGAGAACTGGCTGGTAAGCAAAAATTCGACCCCAGACGGAAGGTGAACCCATGTTTCATCCATACCGGGGACGCGAGCTACCACTCTACGAAAAAGGCAGTAAAAACATAGAAATCTTGGAATTTTGTAAGTACAATGGCTGCCAGCTTAACTAGACTCGCATAGCGACAATTGTTTACTCGACCAAACCCGTTATTGGTTGTAGCTGATAGTTATGATAGAAAGATATTGAAGAATGAGTGGTGAGTAATCGGCCGGCCTCGATGGTGTAGTGGTGGTACGCGTTTCCGGTATTGATGGAACGCAGGTTCAACTCCTGTCAGAGGTCGAATTTTTTCCTCACTACTAAATTCTCTTAGAAATCAGTTATTCAACTCAATTTACTTTAAACTCAATATTCAACTGTAATCACCATCAGCGAGCGATGTGGCCAAGTGATTGTGATGCTCGTCGCAGCGAGCACGAGGCTGACCCTCACCCCCCCCCCCCCCCCCAACTCTCAAGTGGTCACGACGAACGTTGTATGGAACGCTGCAGCCCAGGTATCCTCGAGATTGCAAGAGGGACGTGATCCTGCTATTCTACGACGTTTCAAGAGGAAGAAGAAAAAAACGTAAGCCTAAAGGTACTGGGATCTGCACAGTGAAAAAAATACACTGTGAAGACGGATATGAATGAAGTGAAGATAGAAAGAATGATCATCGATGTTTCCTTCTAAAAAGAATAAGGCTGATATCAAAGAAGTCGTGGCAATCGCTTTTAAGCTTCTCCAATCGCTTCCAAGCCAACAGTTTCTGGATTTTTTCTCTCTTGCAGATGCTGCTTCAGAGTGCGAAGAGATAAGGATCCGATGGAGCAATATAGGGTCCATACAGTGATCGAACCCAGCGTCTCTCCAAAATGGCCAATCGACTTTGCAATGCGAAGTTATCCGGGAGAAGGGCGACACTGAGTTCAATCCACACGCACATTTCGCACTGCGAACAACTTTCGAAATTGTTTCCCGTCGGACGCTGGCATTATGTGCTTGTTTTTCCTGAGCAGTTCCCAAACCAGCATGTCTTGTCAATCCCCAAGAAAAAAAAACTGACAGCACACAGTGTTCCGAGCATGGAATTTGGTCTTTGATTGAACGGGCAGGTCTGTCTGCTAATATCCTGGCCTAGTTTCCTAGTATCTTATCCCCTGAGCTAAAGCTATTACAACATTCCCAACATCTCACAGCTTTTGATAGAAACTTGATTTGAAATAAATAAAAAAAAGAATAAAACAATAGTGTAAAAGAAATTATGGGACAACTCAATAAAAAGAATTTATTCGCCTACTTAAATTTCATTTCTTTAATCTAGTACTTATAGATTGTAATGGCCACACATATTTCTCACGCCCGATCTCATTCGCTGTACAGAAACTTTTCCATGCGAGTGTTAGTAATCATCAGAAAGCTTGAATCTCTGGCTACAACTCGACGTCGCCTGTTTTTTCGAAACACCCTTTATGATACTGTACTCATCCAAAATAACATATTATTTCTCATAGGCCCCATCCTTCATTTTTAACGAGTATAAATCGCTGGCAAGCATGAAAAGCCTATCAGGCGTGTAGAGAAAATTTCTGTAGTACCAAGATGACTTTATCTAAAGTTTCCATCGATGCGGAGAAAAAATTCTCACCTAAAACAACAATAGTTGCCGCGCCGTTTTGAAGGCATAGTGCGGTGAATCACATACCGAGTTACGAGGTAAATCGAGCGATTACCTTGTCAACGAACCGTCATTATTGCCTTTCCTTCACATTTTACTCAGCTAATGAACCTCCTTCGGCAACTTTGTTTTTATCGGTCAACTCACGCAAAAAGGGAGGGGGGACAGATCACGTTCTAAACTATTGCTATTCAATTAAGGATTTTTTTTTTTCACCGCATCGACAGAAACTTGAGATAAAAAACGTGGATTCCGATATTAAGGAGAATTCTCTACACGCTAATGTGCTTTTCGTGTTCTAAACGCGACCTATGCACGTGGGTAATTATGGAGGTGAAAGGCGAGTGATAGACACAATTTTATTCTGGATGTTGTAGCGTTACAAAAGGGTGTCTCGAACAAACGACTACTTAGAGTTGTGGGCAGAGATTCAAGCTTCCGAATGATTCACTACACACCTCCTATGAAAAGTCCTCTTCCAACGAATGAAATCGGGTTTCAAATATATATCGCCGTCTAACATATGATTACCCTTTAATGGGTCGCCCCCACTATCTTTCATACCAACCTCGTGGAATAAGCTATTGAGTTCGCAAGAAATTTGCCGAACTTCCTCGTTTTTCGTAATTACTTTTTCATTCACTTAAGGGTTCCGTTCTTACTGTCGTTTAGATCTGCTTCTTGCGGTTATTTTGACATATAACACTTATGCATTTTCTCAGAATGGAATTGTCCCGAAGAGCAAAAACGCATTGTCGCCACTACACCAGCTACGCTTGCGTTCGAGTGCTACTTTGGCACGCAACGAAACTCGTGTACATCGATAATCGTTTTTGCCTCTGGCAGTTCATCGTAAGAACAGTATGAGTGTCATATATGAAGAATCCCGAAAGAAGCTGCTCTACACGACACTAGAAAAAAAAGACCCAATGCCTGAAAAAACAATAAAAACAAACAAAAGGATCCCGAAAATTTCTTCCAACCAATAAGTCACAAAAGAAAATACACTTCTTCAAAGAACACGTCGCTTTAGTTATAGATATGATCGTCAATTAACATTACCAAACACAAGACATTACAGGTTTCCCGTTATCTTATCGCGTTCAGCAAGCCTTTTATGATCTGAAATCACTTGGAACACAAAGATAAAACATGAAATAACAACTTATTAACTCTTTGATATTAAGGAGCCTGTTAAC